TACTATTTTCTAATAAACTGCTTGAAACTGGAAAAGTTAAAAAAAGACAAAGAGAAAACAACTTATTGATTAAATAACAGGTTATTTCGTTTGACAGCTTTTTTTTTTTTTTTTTTTTTGAGACGGAGTCTCACGCTGTGGCCCAGGCTGGAGTGCAGTGGCGCAATCTCGGCTCACTGCAAGCTCTGCCTCCCGGGTTCCCGCCATTCTCCTGCCTCAGCCTCCTGAGTAGCTGGGACTACAGGCGCCCGCCACCGCGCCCGGCTAATTTTTTTTTTGTATTTTTAGTAGAGACGGGGTTTCACTGTGGTCTCGATCTCCTGACCTTGTGATCCGCCCGCCTCGGCCTCCCAAAGTGCTGGGATTACAGGCTTGAGCCACCGCGCCCGGCCGACAGATTTTTTTTTTTAATTCCATGTGTATATAACTCTTGGTTGTGAATTTATTATATGCTTTAGTTGGACTTTTTTTTTTTTTTTTTTTTTTGAGACAGAGTCTCGCTCTGTCGCCTAGGCTGGAGTGCAGTGGCGCGATCTCGCCTCACTGCAAGCTCCGCCGAGACTACAGGCACCCACCACCGCGCCCGGCTAATTTTTTGTATTTTTAGTAGAGATGGGTTTCACCCTGATCTCGATCTCCTGACCTCATGATCTGCCCTCCTCCACCTCCCAAAGTGCTGGGATTACAGGCGTGAGCCACCGCACCTGGCCCAAAATTCCTTAGTTCAACTTTCTTCTGGCAAAAGAGTAGGTGGTATGCAGGATAAAAATAAATATAATGATATTTCATGGTCAGTGAATACTTCACCTAAATAAGTTTGAGGATCATGTGACTAAAGAATGGATATAAAACAGTAATGAGAGAAACAGAACGCCAAAAACAAAATCAGATTGAAATCTGAGGAAAGAAAATAACCTTCTAATTCTAAATATAAAATGAATAATAAGAGAGAAAAAAGATCAACAACAGATCTGACTATATAAAATTATGAATAAAGATCCTGTATGTTAAAAAATCATTAAAGTAAGACTCATAAATGTACCAAGATATTTTCAGCACCTTGTAACGAAGTGGAAAATCTGTTACATTTGTTATCAGTATGACACAGAGTCAATATGCCTAATATATAAAGAACAGGAACTAGTGAATAAAAACCCTTTGGCAAAGGAAATGTAGAGGTAATTCATACAACAGAAATTATTACTTCAAGCAAACATAAGGGAAAAATTATCACTTTAGTAATTAAAGAAATTCATATTAAAACAATAATAAGGCAGTGTTTTGCTTATTAAATGAACAAAACCTAGATGATAATTTTCAGATTGACCAAGGGGAAATTATTTATTTATTTATTTATTTGAGACGAAGTCTCGCTCTGTCGCCGAGACGGAGTCTCACTCTGTCGCCCAGACGGAATGCTGTGGCACAGTCTTGGCTCACTGCAGCCTCTGCCTTCAGGTTCAAGCAATTCTCCTGCCTTAGCCACCTGAACAGCTGAGACTACAGGCGTGCACCACCATGCCTGGCTAATTTTTGTATTTTTAGTAAAGATGAGGTTTCATTATGTTGGCCAGGATAGTCTCGAATTCCTGACCTCAAGTGATCCACCCACCTTGGCCTCCCAAAGTGCTGGGATTACAGGAATGAGCCACCATGCCCGGCTGAAACTAGTATTCTCAATCATTACTGGTAGCACTATCAGCATACTTCTATATAACAACCCTATAAAGAAATAATGCAAAATATAGAAAAAGCTATCTCTATTAAACTGTTCCTCAAAGCTCTGTATTGACAACAGTGGGAGAAATGGGAAGAAGGGAACAATGCCTAACAACAAATAGACACATCTAGTTCATAAAATATTGGGCAGCCACTAAAAACAGCAGTTATGAGGAGGCCAGGTTGTCAAATATACATTTATGGTTAAATGATAACTGATGTACTGAATAGCAAATTCACCATACAGTATAAAGGACCAGAAAAATTACTCAAGTCAGAACAGTGGGTTGTTTTCAGATAAAAGGATTATGAGCAAAAGGATTATGAGCAACACATTTTTCCTGTTTCTAAATATTCTATAATGAGATATTACTTTTATGGTTTTGAAACAGATGAATAAAAGTGAGGGTATAGAAGGGTAATATCAGTATCCCTTTACAATTGTATTAGATCAGTACATTAGTAGAATTAGCTTTGGTTTATATTTGACATGGTTTGGCTATGTCCCCACCCAAATCTCATCTTGAATTCCACATGTCGTAGGAGATACCTGGTGGGAGGTAACTGAATCATGAGGACAGATTTTTTCCCATGCTGTTTTCATGACAGCAAATACATGTCACAAGATTTGATGGTTTTAAAAAGAGGAGTTCTGCAGGACAAACTCTTTGCCTGCTGCCATCCATATCAGAAGTGACTTGCTCCTCCTTGCCTTCTGCCATGATTGTGAGGCCTGCCCAACCACACGGAATAGAAAGTCCATTAAACCTTTTTCCTGTATAAATTACCCAGTCTCAGGTATTTCTTTATTAGCAGCGTGAAAACAGACTAATACAATATTTTCTTTCCAATGACCCCAATGTTAATGCAAGCTATCTCTTCTTACTCTGCCACCTGCTGAACATATTCAAATAGGATGCACTGTATTTCTGTGCCTTTCCAGTTTCGCATCAGAATGTGAACTACCACCGGGGCTCAGTATGTAATTTGGTGGGCCTACGGTTACATAAATTTCAAACATCACATCTCTCTGAAAAAATATGCCCATTCTTTTTTTTTTAACACATAATTAAATGATTGAAAATGACTGATCGCCCTTTCAGTGGGATTTAGCAAGGTTTTGGCACCAATTCTATCAATTAACTACAATACTGTACTGGTTCTGATACTGCATCTTCTACAGTGCATGTAACAATATGTACAAGGGACTTCTATCAACCAAGATCAGTGTCATGTGTGAATCACCAGGTTTCCTTAACTGAGAGTCCCCAGCCTCTTTTCTATGATGACAATTTCAAGTTCTGTGTTATGACCTGGAGTGCTGTAAGCCATAGCTACAGAGTGGTGAGGATGAGGAGATGGACTATTAAATCTTTCTGGGGTAAAATGTTTGGCTGTTTTATTACAGCCCCTGCCCTATGATAATATTCCTGTAACCATCAACATTTAGATCTGTAATTACAAAAAGGAACTTGATTTTCACCCTGATTACCAATGGAGCTGGTATACATAATCACAATTTAAAAACCAAGACTTGTAAAATGAATGTCTTCAAGAGGTGAATGTTCCAGGCTTTTGTGGATCAACTGGTTCAAAGTAAACCCTCCACTTCTCCTCTTTGATACAAGGTGCTGAAAATGTCACCAAAGCATAGGCACTTCTGTCCTTGCAATCAATCGTCTTTGGTAAGAAAATAAATAAATTTGTCATAAAGAAATAGAAACAAGCTTTATTTTTTTAATTAAAAAAAGTTGTGTGGGAGAAGAGTAGACACAGTTCATGATTCTGAGCAAACATGAGATTATTATGTGCCAAAATGCCCTCAGCATTGTATAAATACAATCCCCTACCCCAACAGAGATCTTTTGTTAAAGCTATAAACGTTCCTTAATACATAAATGTATCGCATTCTTAATCAACTGCCTTTAAAAACCCTTACCTTTCAGAAACCTGTTTTTGTTCATTTTGATTATAAAACTGGATGTACATACTGACAGAGTCTCAGAAGTGACTTTAAAAAAAAAAAAAAAAAGACATCGGCCTGGCGCGGTGGCTCACTCCTGGAAACCCAGCACTTTGGGAGGCCAAGGCGGGTGGATCATTTGAGGTCAGGAGTTTGAGACCAGCCTGGCCAATATGGTGAACCCCATCTCTACTAAAAATACAAAAATTAGCCAGGCATGGTGGCGGGCGCCTGTAATCCCAGCTACGTAAGAGGCTGAGGCAGGAGAATCAGATGAGCCCAGGAAGCAGAGGTTGCAGTGAGCAGAGATGGCTCCACTGCACTCCAGCCTGGGCAACAGAGTGAGACACAGTCTCAAAAAAAAAAAAAAAAAAAAAAGACATCCAACTATTGCTGCATACTTTCTACAGTAGTTTTTTTAACCAAAAATAACTTATTGTATAACAATGAGAATGAAAAAACAACAACAACAAAACACAAAAACCTACCTGAAACAAAATGCAAAAAAGCTGCAATAAAAAAATACCAGAACCTTGACTCCCTGTAGGAAGCGACAGAAACTTACAATGTGAAAGAAAAGAAAAAGGCATTTGGAAACAATTTTCTCATGTTCTGTGACCAAATGAGAGACCAGGTAGGATAAAGGGAGACTATTTTCCAGGAAGTGTAAACAGTTGCTCAGCTTATATCCTCCTCCTTTCCATGGCTGTTCCATTACAGCTCTCTAGAAACCTTATACTGAGCCATTAACTCTCGCCTAGTGGTAGGAAGACTGTGGAGAGGTAGGGAGTTAAAGTGTTAGGCTCAGTACTGTCTCTACTACTCTGTCTCTCACTCCCACCAAACTATCAGGGGTGGAGACTGGAAGTCACTCATCTGCCCCTAGATTTCTTTCAATGACTTCTAGCAGGTTGTTCTGATATGTGCTTGTCAGCATTAATTACATGTGACATTGGATTGGCTTGATCTGTGACAAAATTCAGATGCACTATAATAAAGCAAAAGAGCAGGAGGAAAGATGCCAAGGGGAGACTTTGACAGTGCTCTCACATCCCCAGGATGGATACCCTTCACATCTCCCTCCTGCCCCGTCGGCCATCCTAACAAAGACACACTTGCTCTGCGCTGCATATAGAGCTTTCAGACAGATCTATCAGCTTTGGACAGCCCAGTCTACACTTGTTGTCCCATTAAGAACATCCCCATTCACTCTCACAGCATCCTATTTATTTGTTAAATTACATAATCACCCTACTGAGCCCCTTCTTCCAACTATATTGCCACTCCTTAATTCCTCCCATACAGCTGTGCAGTCACAATGGCTGAAGACAAAAATCACTCGGAAAGCAACAGAAAAGACTCCCTGGGAAATCTGAGAGGAAAGGTGGAACTGATAGTACTACATTTGTTCCTTTATTTGATTTCCATGGAAGTGTACTTCACATCAGGCTGGTACAAAATCAAAGAGTGTGTCTGTCATTAGACCGCTGCCACAAAATCAAAGAGTGTGTCTGTCATTAGACAAAATGCACAGAATCTGTCATCAATTCACTTTCCTTGAGAATGTCTTTCTGAAACACAGTATCTTTCACTTACATCTTTCCTGCTAGAGTCAACGAGTATTCTAAGTACATAAATGGCGTACACCTTGATTTTATTACATCTGTAACCTTGAAAAAGATCAAATGATGTTTCAGGATGATCTGGTAGACTAGTGCTGTCTAATACAACTTAGCGCAACGCGGGAAGTGTTCTATGTCAGCACTGGTTCTATATCATGGCCACTAGCTACATGTGGTTATTAACTACTTGAAATGTATATAGCATGAATGTGGTCTTAATTACATTTAATTTTAATTAAATAATAAGGAGAACTGGTTTCTTAAGTTGGAATATTGGGATAAAAAAGCTCTGCCTCCCGTTCTCATCTCCTGAGTTTTGATGAGAACTCTCACTAGAATCCTCATCAAGGCAGATACTGCCTACTATGGAACCTTCCTCCCTCAAAGAGCAAGCAATGGGTTGGCAGGGACCCCATTTCTGGCAGTATAACAAGGACAATGTCAAGCCCAGAAAGGACTGACCTTAGGTTCCAAAGACCAAGATAGAGAGGTCAGCTGGAGTAAGAAAGCCTCTTCAATTTTGGGGATCTTAGGTTCCTCAGCAAAACAACATGAGGTTTACTCTCATGTCCTTTCCAGCACCTTTTGAAAATTTCTAATTGGTATCTGAAAAATGTTCATCACCCATAATGAAGAAGCCAACATCGCACATTTTACAATCAGAAATGTGTTTGGTTCTCTCTCATCCGGACGTACGGAAACATAATGTAATCTGTCACTCTAGTACCTACATATTTCAAAAGAATAGTTTTATGCTTAAAACATCTAAAAGGTCATTTATTCCCCCTTTATCTCCATTAGACATAATACCATATTCATATAGGCTTGTGGATACAATCTTTTACCTATGGATTTGCTTACATCATTATTTCTCTCAACATTAGTCGCAAAGAACATTATTATTGTAAAGCCCTACCACATCCATGGTGTGTCTTTCCTTCTGTAAAATGAAAAGATTATTTTGAAAGATTTTCACAATCGGAAAAGGTAACAGGCCTTTTAAGACATTTGTAAAAAAATATTGTTAATCGCATTTACATTCCTCTTACTAAGCATATTTTTTATTTAATATGAACAATCGTCACTGAGTAGTTTGGTATACTTTTTAAAGGTTTCTATCATTTTCAAATGCCTTGAAATAAAATATCATTCAAAATGAGGCCAAGATTATGCATATTTAAAAAAATTTCTCATAGAAACTAACCATCTGTACAATAATCCATTGTCTGCTCTACCAAGGTGATTTATTAAGGATAATGAAGCATATGATTTAATAGCTGCTGCAAATCCTTTTTCAAGTAAGATGGGTATAAATAATACAAAAAGATGGTCCAATAATAGCCAAATCCCAAGCTAAGAACTATTCTATATGCTAGGTCACAGGAAATTACATGAGCTCAATTAACTGTGGAGCAAAGTGAAGTGTGGCTAAGCAGCTAAGGCTCTAACCCCCCTTCTCCTATTTTATTGGTATTATTGTTTAGTGAAACCAGTAAGCTCTAATACCATGGTGGAATTTGAGTAGCTTTTTTCCACATGACAACATAAAGCTCTCCAATTAAAAATGGACATTACCGGCACAAGTTTTCTAAAATCTTAAAAATCAAGATCTCTAAAATTTGTCAGTGCAAATCATACTTGCACTGACAAGTACAACAGTGCTTTACTCAGTCTTATATTCCCACAGTACTTTGCATTTCACAGAGTTTAACGTCTGGTGCTTTAAAGAATGGATGTATAAATGAGAAAGCAGGTGAGTGAATGAATAAAATCCTTGCAGAAAAAAAACAAAACAAAACAAAAAAATGCGATTCTGTGTTCCTCTGAGACCTGGTCCTAAGATTTAACATCACTTATGCTTTTGAAAAAGTCTGCAAGGTCAGTTGTCAAGAAGTTATCTCCTTTGATGGCAAAGCTTTCCTTCGGCCAGTGTCCTATAAAGAAAAAAAGTCGCCAAATCGTACATGCCATTTGAATACAGTATTTAAATATTAGCTCTTGGTTGCAACCTGACATACTCCTCTCCTGGCTAGCTCTGGCAATATTCAAGACCTCACAAGGCCCTATGAAATCAGTGAGGCAAATTTCTCACAATAGGAAATACAAGCCATCTAACATGCCAGCTGCTTGGCATGAAAGACAGCCTGGCTGTGCCTTACAGGCATGGCACAGCCATTCATTGATAAGCTGGCACAGCCAATCCTGTCCCCATGCCACCCAGCAAGTCCATCTAAAACAAGATTAGACACTGCAAATCCTAGCGCTTAAGTAACACTGGGTTTCAGAAAATGTTCACAGCTCAACATAAACAAAGAGGCCTATGTGTGAGACATATGTCACTTTACCCTCAAAAAGTGCATGCTTCACCAGGCACATTTACCACCAGCATATTTTCATACTGCAGTTCCTATGGCTCTTGCTCTTGTGAATCTGGCTTGCCAGAACCGAGATCAATTTTATTAGATACCATTAGTCTCTGTTAGTGCGGTCATTTGAATAACAACAGATTGGCAAGTATAAAACTAAGGCACCTGTTGTACATTTGGCAGCCTGGATGAGGCCCCTTAAAACGAAAACAAATAAGAGCTATAATCATGCCAGGCAATTGCTTTTGGTTCAATAATGGCCATGTGTCAGAATTAAGTGCATCTGGGAATTGCTACCGCAGCCAGATGTAAAGGCAGATTTGTCTTGTCTAGTGGCATATGAGTAGATACACACACTCTACTGAGATTTGGCTTTGTCCTGGTTTGGTAAGGAACTAGGTAAGTGGAACTTCACTCAAAATAATATAAAATCACAATTAATTACAGAGGAGCAATAGACAATATTATCATAAACTGCAGAACCTAAACATATGGGTTGTAAGATTTGGGCCATGAACTAATTCACCTCTGAGTTTTCTGCTCACACTAATTTGTTCATAGAATACTCAACAATAACATGCAATATTACTATTACACTGAGCCAGGCCATGTAGTAGGAGGTGGAGATGTCACTGGATATAAGACATGGACATTGGCTTCCAGGCACTCATTAATAAAACAGAGTATAAATAAGCAATTACAATGCATTATGATAGATACTACACATAGGATGTATTCAGTATTCTTTTAGCACCCCAAGAAAGCTACCCAGACTTGGGAGGAGGGAAATTTTCTGGGAAGAGTTGTGAGCTAAGCTATGCCCTGAAGGAAGAAAAAAAATCAGTCAAAAATGGAAGGGGTGAGACATTCCATATGGAAGAGAGACAGCATGCTCAAAATTACAGTAGAAAGAGTCAACGTGGTACATCTGGGAAACAGCAAATACTTTAGTATGGTTCAAGTGTGTGTGTGTTAGGGATGGAAGGAGTGGGGAAGAGAAAACGAATATGAGGATGGCAAGGTGGCAAGAGACAAAGCAGAGGAAAGGACATCAAAGGCCAGGTATCTTTTGGTAAGGAATATTTCAAGCTTTTTACAGAAGGAACAGGGAGCCACTGAAATATTTGAAAGCAAGGAATGACTTGATCAGATTTGAGTTTCTTTTTTTTTTTGAGATGGAGTCTTGCTCAGTCGCCCAGGCTGGAGTGCGGTGGCCCGATCTCAGCTCACTGCAAGCTCCGCCTCCTGGGTTCTCGCCATTCTCCTGCCTCAGCCTCCCAAGTAGCTGGAACTACAGGCGCCCGCCACCACACCCGGCTAGTTTTTTGTATTTTTAGTAGAGACGGGGTTTCACCATGTTAGCCAGGATGGTCTCGATCTCCTGACCTCGAGATCCGCCCGTCTCGGCCTCCCAAAGTGCTGGGATTACAGGCGTGAGCCACCGCGCCCGGCCTTGAGTTTCTTAAAGATCATGTTGGCTGCAGAGCAGAGAAGCAATTGTGGTTAGGTCAAAACCAAACACAAGGAGACTGCAACCCAAGCATGAGAAGATGGGGACCTTTCAACAGATGATACCTAGTAACATGAAAACACAGTGAATAATTTAGTGGAAAGGAAGTTAGTATGTATTTTGGTATCCTTGATATAACACAAGTGTCACTCAGAGAAAACAGATTTTGAATGATAAAATTCAAAATTTAAATTAATATTTTCCTAAAATTGTTTTTTTTTTTTTTGGTACATATAAATCAAATTCAGGTCGAGTCTGTTAAATAGTAAAAGTCGGATTAAAATAAGCAATCCTTTCTTAAATCAGTAACAGAATATACATAACAGTATTTATTAAAGTTGCCATTCTTAATTTATAAGTATTATTTTAAAATGTGTATTGACAACCTAACTATTAAAAAACCCTTGCTACATATCACCTAAAAAAGTACACCCTGCTTCATGCTTCTAGGAAGTTATGTTTATAGATTAACTGGTAGAAAAACATATGGCTAAATAGGCCAGTGTATGCATGTGAGAAGCATTTTAGAAACCTGGGCAAAGAAGACTTAATTGTTCAGATATTACGAAAGCCATAAAAGACCAAATAATTTTCCATGTAACTTTATTTATGTGCCATGTCTGATTTAAAACTTCAGGGTGCCTTCTTGTCAGAGAAAAAACAATTTTCCAAATCATCAAACAAATATAAGATCCTGTATTTTATTATTTATAAAACCATAATTAATCAGAAATAGTTCTCTGAGGACTTACAGAAAAGGAGAAAGGCTAAACTATTATAAAATAGGTTAAATGGAAAAAATAATCAAATCACCCATCCTTATTGATAATGAAACTCACGGGTGAAGTGAAAACAAGAGTATTTTAGAAGACATTATAATTGACAAAAGTTTCTCAGA